CTATTGGAGTCTTCGCGTCGAATGTCATGGTGCAATAACTTCATACTTCACCATTGCATAAATTAAAGTTCACATGGCAACCAGGTGGACAATCAGACATGGTTTGGTTTCAAAGACCCAACGTTTCGATACCTGTCTAGTGCCTTCATCAAGGGTGATCTAAACGCTGCAACAAGAGGTCCTTTTTGAGTGTATAAAAGGATCGTTGGGTCTATGAATTGTAACTTCTCGGTTACATTAATTAAATCTTTCAACCAGAGTAGCATTAATCCATGTCTGTTCACCATTGCAATTGTTTCCAAAGCGGAACTCTTTCTGGGCGTCATTGGAGTCTTCGCGTCAAATGTCACAGTGCAATAACTTCACACTTCATCATTGCAATTGTTTCCAAAGCGGAACTCTTTCTGGGCGTCATTGGAGTCTTCGCGTCAAATGTCACAGTGCAATAACTTCACACTTTATCATTGCAATTGTTTCCAATTAAAGCGGAACTCTTTCTGGGCGTCAATGCTGACAGGAAAACATTATATCTCTTTTGATTATTAATCAGGAAGTTCACATATGACCCTCCATGGGAAAACGGACACTAACGCTTTTTCGTTAAACGGTCTAGAAAAACGGTTTTAAACGGATACCGAACGGCTAACTCAAGCGTTTAAACGGTTTCCATAACCGCTTAAACGGATGGCCAAAAATTTAAACGGTTGACAAAAGTCCAAAAACGGATAGCTTAGGCCCTCAAACGGTTGACCAAAAATAAATAGGGATTGCACGAAACGTTAAATGGTTTACCAAAGTCCAAAAACGGATAGCTAACACTGTTAAACGGTTGACCAAAAATAAAAAAAAAAAACGGATAGCTTAAAACGAGAAACAAACAGTTGACCAAAATTGACAAACGGAGAGCTAAAAATCAATGTAAACGGTTGTGGTTGAGCCGGTGAGATCTTTTGCGGAAAAACTTTCCGAGCGACAACGGATAATTATCTTGAAGCGAAAACATTGAGCATTATAATTTGAAAAACAATAACTAGGATACACTAGCGCATTTTACTTCCGGGTAAACTACTTCCGTTTTCGTGTGACATTCATGAAATAAGCGCAATTTACTGAGAATAGTTTCACTGCCAAATAACCTAAACGGCTATTGCGAGAAACTCACAACATCCTCCTTTGTTTATTCTAATTATTATTGAAAATAAACTTCATGTTTTTTTGCTTTGAAGTTTCACGAAATAGTTCCATAGCAAATAAAAGGTCGAATCAGTGTCACGCACTAAGCGGGGCTGTTGAAATAACTGTCAATAAAACCAGGAAAGATGAATTAAGATGACAGAAACAGATAGAGAGTAGCCGATTTAGCAAAACCAAAACCATGACACGGGAACCAAGACAGGGTTATCTCGATTTCACCAATCTGTAAACAAGATCTGAGGCGCACTGTTAAAACAAGATCGGTGGCGGGATCATAGTCAAATGAATGGCTTCATTAACTGTCGATGCTCTACGTTTGTGCAAACGGATATTTTAACTTAACTCGTTTGTCCAAGGATGCGACGATTACTCGCTCTCTATGATCACGGAAAAGATAAAGCCAAAATAAGATACGGTCATTCTGCATTTCAAGAATCGGCGAGTATCGAGCGAACGTAAGATTGATACTTCGAACAGCCCGTAACAGAATAATAAACAAACAGTTGAAAGTTTTCCTTGGAACGTTTTGCAAATCATTGGCATATTTCCTTATCGCAAATTACCGATTTTCATTTCGTTTCGTTTCGTTATTTACCTTTGGACTACCTCGTGAAAGCCCTTCACGCAGGTTTGTAACAAAGGTAGTGTGCATTTGCATAAGTGAGATTATTATTTAACAATGAAGTTTTGTTGTGTTACATCGGAAATTCCGGGCCTACTAATATATAATTCTATTTTGTGTATCTTGCAATCCTTGGTCTCGCTGTAGGTAGTAATTATCGTTGTGTTCTTGGCTTCGTGGAAAAATGACAGACACTTTCGTTGGAAATCGAGATGGTGTTTATGATCGAACCTCTCCACTAGAGATGACCCAAGTGTACCCACAGCCCGTGCAACCTGCAACCGAAATACAGCTCCCAGATATCGACGATATCTCGCACATTACGCTTCATCAGGTAAGAAATATGCATTTGAAATTTAACTCTCTTTTTGTTTAATGAAATTTGAAATTTAACTCTCTTTTTGTTTAATTAATCTCATGCAAACAAGCTGTGTTCCAAAAACGTGAATTGTTAAATTTCGTGATTGTGCCTGACTCAATTTAAAGCTTTCCATGGCGGAAAAGAAATACGTCCTTCGTTCTTAGCACTGATCATTTTCGAGATAAAAGGTTCCTCAACACAATGAGTTACCTTAGTACATTTTTGTTCAACTTTTTTTTTGATGGTAGATTTCATGATTTACGCTATTAGCAAACAAGGGATTATACCTCAAACAAACCTGACGAGCAATAAGATTTGACCTCTTTTAAATAGGTTTCCAAGCTTTTTTCTCGAAGCGTAATCTCATGCTGAATGAAAATCAGGTGATCTATGAGCAGCCCGTATTTTTGTTTAAATTGTTCTCAGACGAAAAAAGAATGTAAACACAATAATTGTAGTACATCACTTCAATAAATAGAGGATATTACATGGCCGCTTGGGGATACGAATTTTATCTTCTCGTGCTGAAAGTATACTTGTATACTTCTCTGTATGAGAGATACTTTCAGCACGAGAAGATAAAATTCGTATCCCCAAGCGGTCATGTAATGTTCTGTTTATGTTATAGATACTGATGAAATTCCTACATAAAAGACAACTTTTTTTTGTATTCATCTTTGAAACAGCAAAATAGTGCAATTAAAGTGGTCACCTATCGCTCGTAAAAAGTATCGATGTGAAAATTTGGCAGCTTATCGAGAAAGTCACCGGTAACTGTGCCGTCTTCGCACCTCGAAGCCATTTTGTGAATGAAATTTAAAAAAAACCGGCCGCGTGCCTGAACCGGAAGCTCTCTTGTAATTGGCTAATCATGTTAGTAATCATGGCGACACCGATATCCTCTCACTTGAAAGATAAAAATAGTATCTTCCGCCTGCGCGCGATGAAGATTTTATTTTTTAGTAAAAGGAAAAGTCGTGGTATTTCATCAGTATCTATATAATAAAAACTTTTTAACATACCAAGCCGCGGTGTGTAAGGGACCGGTCATTATTTATCGCCTGGGGGGGGGGGGGGGGGTCGGAGTATTTAGGGGGGGATCACATGGTTTTTTGAAGACCTTTAGGGGGGATCAGCCGTAATTGACAAGCATAATGGGGGGGATCAGACCAAAAAAAAAAGGAATTTTAGGTCGCGCCGGGACCCCGGGTGATTGCATTTGTAAATACTTTGGTAGGATTTGCCGCTGGGACTCTAAACCCCCAACCATATATTCAAGACCACGTTCAGTTGTATTTTGTATTATATAAACTCTATTCTAGCCCAGACACAAAACCCAAACCCTTTTACAGACCCTCCATTTTGTAAAAAAGAATCACTATCGTAGTCTAACATACACGTTTTTATTCAGGCACGATCTAAATTAGAAAGGTAATCAAGATTTTGAGAATGGAATACTTACAATTGCTCAAAATTGTTTCATAACGTTTCAGTTTGTTTTATAGAGAATCGTAATCTAAAATCATAAACTTTCATTATTTTAATACGCTGCCGAATGAAAACAACAAATAAAAAAGTGTTTATTTTGGTGAGGCTGTATCTTGTTCCGCTTCCGTGTCAGAATCTTCGGCAGCCCTCTCCACTGGCTTGCACAGTCTCCTCGTCAGATTCATCTGAATCCTCGCCCGAACTTGACCCTTTTTCAGCACCATTACTGCTATTCTCTTCGTTCATTCTGGCCACTACCACTTTCAAATTGCGTGCCAGCTCTGTTTCAAACACGCCTCTTTCCAAAAGCCATAGCAGAGGATCCAGGTGGAGACGCTTGACAAATCTCGCAGTGAATCCTGCATTAATACTTGAGACACATTTGTAAGTATTCTTTTCGAGTGAATCGAAAACCTCTTTAGCTACCTCTTTTGAGGTAAGTTTTTCTAGGAGAATTGCTGCTCGCTGATGCAACCTTTTCTCCTTGATTTTTTTCACTTTTCTCTTGTTTTCTTTTTTTCTTCGGGATTGGCCGTTGTTCCCCATGGGAGATGGGAACTTTCTCTTCAAGCTCATGAGGGTGGTCGTGAGCGCATTGGAGGCTTTCTGCAGCTCTTGGTGTATGGCCTTCACTCGCTCTTGAGCTTCCTGGAAATATTTGAGCTCATCACTTGCAAACGACCTTAAGGTATGCTCTTCTGTATAAAGGTTCTTTCGTCTGTTGTCGATAAATGAGAGCAAATCGGATGCTGAATTAAACTATTAAACAGTGAACTATTTTGTTGGAAAAAGCCACCAAAAGGCGAAGAAAACACAAACGAAAACACTCACTACCAACGAGCACACGTAAAAAACATAAAAAGACGATTCTGGGGTGCCAGAAATTCCAGCGCGAAAAAGTTTTGTTTCATGAGAAGCACCGATGACAAGGCTTACCTTAGACCAGGTACATCTGAAGGTTTTGACAAAGCCAGAAATCTTAGGATCTTAACATTATCAGATCACACTAAAGCAAGGAAGTTGCCAAAGTACGACTGGCCTGAGAAAATGGTATATGTGACCCCGGGTTCTCACCGTGTTTTCACGAAGTCAAGTGTAATGAATGAAACTGAAGAGAAGCTGATAACTGAGGACGATCGCCACTATGTATTTGTCCGGCCCAAAGCAATAGTGGGATCGTCAGGCACTGTATGGGCCAGCGAAACGGTTCGTTTGCGACATGAGGATCCATCAGCTTTTGAGGTTGACGAACCGACACCTGGCAGTCCACAGTACTCACTGGGATTTCGTAAATGCTGCGCGCGACTACACGATGACCTCTTTCTTTATTATGATATGACAGAGTCAGATGACCTAGACAAATCATCCGGAGAAACAGAAAGTAACTGTAAATTCTTCACTTACGAAAAAGAGAGAGCAGAACACTTGAAATTAAGGATTGACAATTTGTTGCAGTTTTGCGAAGACACAGAAATGTCAGAGCACAATAGGGCTCTGTTTGCTAGTCAGATAATACCAGTCACGAAACGCATTTTAGATGCCATTGATGATCTGTTTAAAGAGGAAGTCGATTCCATGGAAAAAGATGCGAGAAAGGACAGGATTTTAAGGGTAACCAGTTCATGTAAACATGGTCTTGAAGTTCTCGGAGATCTCTGCCTTCCACCTGTAAAGCCACGATGGGCTGACCTTACAGATGCTGGTCCGGGCGTGGGAGTTTCCAACTACGAAGTTAGATTTCGAGACGCCGAGTTAGCAAGGGTTCACAATTCCGATTATAGAGTGCGATGTCATCGTTCGAGGGGCGACAGCGGGCAAGGTGAAGCCGAAAGGACAAACTCGGCAATTTCTGATGCTCTTGTGGATGGCGCAACTCTAGAGTGGGAAAAATATAGGAGATTTGAGGATCTTTCAGAAGAGGAAATCAAACAACTGTCTCTCCAGTCATACGAAGAGTACGAAAAGAAACGGATGGAGAAAAATGCCTGGTATGTCTGTAGTCAGGTAGCCGAGAGAATTGATGATGCCCCTGTCCTTAAAGATTACATCAAGAGCAAAGTAAGCGAGTCCCCTGATGAATTATTCTTTTTCAATTCTGTTTACCTCGACAACTATCGGGGTGCATCAGAACGAAACAAAGAGCAAGCGCCCGGTGCAGCATACTTCCGAAAGATCGAATCGTTTATGGAAGACCACTATATTCGTGGAGAACTTTTTATGGAATTCTGTCGTGATGCCTGTAAAGAGTCAAGAGAAGAAAGTTCCAATCTCTGTTCCTGGTGTTCTAACAATAGATGGGTCGGTCCAGAAACGGAAAGAATTCCGCAACCTGTACCAGATTCAAACAATCCTGGACATTTCATGGATATCTATCAGACGGAATCGACGGGCAGGACACCAGATGATTACCTTCCAAGAAAATGTATTAAAGATCTGTACGAGGAACATTCTGACTGTATCAGAAACGATCAGGATACCATGAAGAGCTTCTGCTCAAAATATAATGTGGAAGAGAAGCACGTCATTGCATATGTTAATCATTTGAAGGATATTGAGATCCGAAAGGACATCAGAACAAGAGCAGCTCAGGAGCGAAGAAGGCAAGAGGCCGAACGAACGTACAAGGACTTTCAATGGGATAACCTCATTGAGGGTGGCAAAGTTGAAAAGTTGCGGGTAAGAGAACTAGACCTGTATCTCAACAAGCATGGTTTGACGACTGTGGGTCGGAAACTTGACAAAGTGAAGGCCATTCGATGTCACTATTACCGACAGAATAAAGAGACTGTGATAACAGAAGAACTGTCGAGTGATGAAGATGACGTGGAATCCGAGGATGAAGAATCCGAAAGTGGAGAGGCAGAGAGCGACGCTGACTATGTTTTCGTGGATTTGGATGAACAGCCTGAGATTGGCACTTCCTCGACAATTCAGTTCGTATCTGACGAGCAAATATTTACCGTTGTGGTTCAAGGTCCATGAGACGTAAGTACCACTATTAAAATATCACTTGCATATTCAAAAAGTTATTTGGCGGTGGCTGGGAGAAAAGGGTGGGGGGATCATGAAACTTTCCACTACCGATAAGGGGGGATCTCTAAAAAACTAGATACTCTACGGGGGGATCAGGTAAATGCTCCGATGTGACAACAAAAATACTCCGACCCCCCCCAGGCGATAAATAGTGACCGGTCCCTAATATTCCGCTCAGCACGTGTGAAGCATCTTACCTAATTTTACTTCTCAATTTTTTCCTCCAAGTTCCTTGTTTTTGTTTTGTTCATTTATACTGATGATATAATTAAAATAATAATGATAATAATAATAATGCTATCCATTCACAGTAGGAAGTCTTGTATTCAAAGCCAACTTGTAACATTAAAAAATTAGTATTGATTTATCACGGCATAGATTATTTCTTATCACTTCTTGGGTATAATGGAACATTTTCTTTAAGTTTTTTATTTTCTTCTCAGAGTCGTTTTAATCTTCATCTAAAATGACTCTGAGTCAGGCCCCAAAGATGTTATGCCCGCGAATAAACTCTATTGTTTTATTTACTAAAGACCATTTTTTTATTGACACCTCAGTTGTCAAGGCAACCTAGGTACTGCATTTTTGCACTGACTAAAATTACATTCTACCGTTTGTTAAGGATAACAGATTATTTGCTACTATTTTTGCAAGACAAAAACAATTGTCAGGAAGGATGTTTTCTAATACTAGTTGTAACCCTTCTGTGGTATTTGGTATTTGATTCGTTTTAAATAATTGCCAAATATCACCTTGAACGTGAAAATTTGTCTATATTTTGTAAAAGTGTATAATTGATTAATGCTTCCTATGGTACTGAGAAAAAGAAATGGTTTGAAAATCAAGGTGTTTTTAGGTTGGCAATTTTTCTTATTATCAAGACCGTAACTTTTGAGTTAGCAGCGACACTGTAAGGAGGAATTGGGTGCTAGTCACTCAGATAGCACTTTCACCAAATAAACTGGCCATCCCACCACATTCAAGTACCTTGTACACTGATGCTAAAAGGCCTGAGTTAACATACCAGTTAGGCAAAAAAACTATTCAATCTGAAGAAGGGATGAAAACATCCAAATCTGTTCTAGGAAAGGAGGACTTGGTATATTTTAAGCTTAGTGGTTACAGTGAAAGATGTGCTATTTTGATGAATGATACTGAAGACTTGATTTGGGAATTGAGCCTAGGCTCTCCTTCTGAAGAGACAATTGGATGGGTGGACTTGCCATAGCTGATTTCAAATAAGAAAGAGATTTTTGCGTGATGTGACTGAAAACAGTGTTCTACTAATCATGTGTTACAGTATTATATTATGCAAAAGTTGTCGACGAAATTCCTAGCTATTCAACGAACTTTGGTCCGAAACGAAATTTGCGCGACACTTCGACGAACTTTCGAAGCAGCTATTGATTGGTTTCATCCGAAATTTCGCGGATAAATTCAATGGGAACCTTAGTGAGTCCCGAAATTTCGAGGATCTTTTCGGAGAAAATTTGCGCTTCATTGTTAACGCAAACCCTATAGCGCAAGATGCCGTAACGCCACGACTTCAAAGGTCACGCATCAGAAATTAACTCAGAGTAAATCCGGCAGAAAACTATAGAAGCCATATTCCAGAAAGCTTTAAGTCAAACTAAGTAATGAAACCGCACTAACCACTGCAAAACGATGTAAAGCTCTTAACTTTAAATTTCAACACGGAGAAAAGTGAGACAAGCGTGACTTGATCGACCACGTGTAAACGAAGGTGGGCTAACACACATTTTCATAGCCGGCGTTGTTTACGGTTAAATTCACTACGACAAATTTTAAAAAGAGCAAGAACTATTTCCATTTCTATTTCGAAAGAATAATTGACAAAATTCGGCGATTTTCGTTTGTTTAACTCTTGCACAGACCAGACCTCAAATGTCCATATTGAGGAGGAAGTTAAAAAATTGTTTCTGAGTATGCCTCTCTTAGTCTGTCGCCCAACTTAAATTCCTTATCTCTCATGCAATGCTTGTTGCTACAGTGTCTAGAACAAATTTGAAAAACAATTAATGTGTGGATATCTGTATGTCAAAGTTCTACAAGAATTTTCATTACCACTTTTATTTCGTTTTCTTTTTCTTGTGTTCGTTATTCTAATGTGAAACGAAAGCAGTGCTCTCCTTTTGAGACAGTGACTATTTCAATTTATCACATGTACTACCTCTTATTCCGTTTTAAATCTCTTGGAGTTCTTGAAAGTTCGAACAACCTGTCATACTTGAAATAAGGGAGAACACTGAAAAAGATAAAAGCCATACTGTTTTAAAAAATTTTAAGCCTTACATTAGTTAAAGCTCAGCAGCGGGTACAAAATCGAGCGGCAACTTTTTAGGGCCTTGCCTAAGCCTTACCTGTGAGTAGAAAGCAAGGAGCTAAAACAGAAGATTGGAATCAAAGAATGATTGATATTCCACATTCACTTTTGCGCAAAATTATTAGAGTTAATTTTAACTATTATGAATAGTGTGTTGTATTCATTTACAGGCTGCAAGAGATGGTAAAACTGACATCATCACGCAAAGACTTACCAAACTTGCATCAAAAAACCCAGCAAGATATAAAAAAGTAATAAACAAGAGAGATGAGGATAACACCACACCTTTACACTATGCTGTACGATATGGACAGGAGGAGGTTGTCAAAGTGTTGGTAGAGCTTGGAGCGGGTAATTTTTATTAATTAAGTTTTCTACTTATGGCATGAGGACCAGCAATTGAAATTTGGAAATTATCATGAGACTTAGAGAACTGCAAAAACTGATAACTTTGATGGAATTTTATTGTTTTCCAAAGATAAAGGCCATCAGGCATGAGAAAACTTACCTGAAAATGGTAAAAGTGATTATTTTGGAGTTTTGAGGTTTCCTTGCTTGTTCTTAACTTTACTGTGTTTGGACAGCATGTATTGTGCTTACGTTTTTCACAGACCTAGGTCCAGTTGTATAAAGGGCAGGTAATGTTATCCAATGGGTAAATCGCTATTCAGCGAATAAGTGATGGCAAAATGTATGGTGTTATCCACCATTTAGAGATTTATCTTGTGGATAGTAATATCCGACCTTCAAACAACAGGGACCTGAAGTATACGTTTTGTATGTTACTGATGTAAGAAAGAGTTGTCTTACATTCATTTAGAATAATTACTCCTTTGATTAGAAATGCACATGCTCTAAGGATTGTGTCATGTCTTGTTATTATCACTTCAAGGTGATTATAGTAGGAGGGCTTAATTTTGAAATGGCTACCTCGCATTTTGTCAGTATCATTGAGGAATTCATGAATCCAACGAAGAAAATTGATTACTGACGAGCACAAAAGATGCCATTCAGTTTGGAGTAACGTTTTTCAAAAGAACAATATAAAGTTTTTGCTGATTGAATTAAATTAACCAGGCGCTGTTAAATACAAATGGAAATTGGCTCTTTTTCTCAAGAAGGGTAATTCGAACAACAGAAACGGAATGGTTTCATCATCAGAATATTTAAAAAAGAATTTGAAAGCCCCTAAGCAATTATAATAGTTAAGAACAATTATTTGTAAAAGGCAAAATTATTTTTTTTTAGCATTCCCATGGACTTCATCTTGAGAATTATTCAATAATATTCACTTTGCCTCAGACAAATAGTTTTTAATTAAGGAGTGTAGGTCTTAATCACCTTAGGACTTCCTTATCTACATGTATGCCCCTGCTCTAACAAGTAGGTTCTCACCATCCTAATCTTATCTTTTTGATAGATATTAACATCCCTGGAGAAGATGGAGCATCTCCCTTGCATTACGCTGCAAGATTCCGAGCAAACTTACAAGTGTCACAAGTGAATGCTGGTGGCGAAAATGGAACAGTTCCTGATGGAGTAGTAGAAAGTAACATAGGTGTTGTAGCTGCACCTCTGACACATGCCATCAGCTCCAGTAGTCTTCTTGTGGAAGTGAACCAAGCTATGTCACAGGTCTGAAGAGTATATGTTGTAGTTGATTCAAATGAATTTTGGATAAAATTTTTATGATGGACAGTGAGTGGTAAATATCTTGACATGCATGTACACCATCAATTTAATATGTTTTGTTAGTTAATAAACCACACAACACAGCTGGAAGGGCACAGCCAAGAGGGGTTCTTGTGGTGCCTGTGATCCCAAGGTAAGCCTTTATCTGAGCAAACAACCTGCAATATCCAGGTGGCAAAAATGCCATGTTGATGTCTTGGCCACAAAAGCCATTGTTGAAAAGCCCACGTTTTGAAATATGTTTTGTATCAAAGTATTTTCATCAGTGACTCTTTTATTTTCTCAATATGGGCCTTCATGCTATGTTAATATGAGCCCACTGAAACACAAGGGGGGCACTCAACTTACTTGTTAATAAACTTCATGCTTATGAATAGGATGAAAGAAAAAGATTACCAAAGAAATAACCCCTAAAATTGAATTTTCTGTGACATCTGTGAAAACATAGGCATGCGTCAGTTTTTTTCCTTGGCTCAAAGGGTGGGTTGAGATAGAACAGTTTGTGTACTCAATGATTTCATTTTTGTCACTGAAAAGAGCATAACTTTCAAAAAACGAAAATATCGTAGAAAGATAGAAAAAACCGAATTTATCTGAACACACACAGATATTATGTGATCTACTGTCTCTATTGTCTAAATATTTCTAACTTAAAATGAAATGCAATGGTACCACACTTACTGTATGTTGCCTCCTTTGCAACCTTTGTTTGGTCTTGTCACACAACACCCTCTATTCCCCCTTTGAGAGAGAGCGGGCATTGTGTGACGAGACCAAATACTGGTTGGAAAAGAGAGAAAATCCAAATCCTCCAACAGAGAGAAAATCAAAACTATTCGCCTATAGTTAGTTACCTCAAAAATATTATCTCACGTAATATCAATTACTACATAAAGCAAACTGAAACTCTGTT